TCTGGCCATTGTGCTGATTAAACTGGCTTCAGCTACAGGGCCCGGGGCTGGCTCGGTGTTAAGCGGGAAGGGAATGAGCTCACGGCTTCATCCTCCATCGCTCCCGGTTCCTCGTTGCCCTTTCACTCGGTCAGTGTTTTGTTGCAGCAGGGTTCCCAAGAAGGGCTTTGTGGAGGTGACCGAGCTGACGGACATCAACTACAACAGCAACTTGGTGCGCCTGAGGCCGGGTCACATGAACGTGGTCTTGATCCTTTCCAACTCCACCAAAACCATGCTCCTCCAGAAGTTTGCCCTGGAAGTCTACACGTTCACAGGGTAAGTTGGGGCCCCCTCCTGGGTTGTAGCACCTTGTGCGATGCTGCTTTGCTGACCAGGTAGGATTGCCACGAGCAAAGTGGCCTCTGCACTCGATGAGCCATCAAAACCCGAGCGGCCTTTCCCGGCCCTGCTCAGGGGAGGTGGCCGGACAGGTCTGGTGCTGCCGCTGCTTTGGCTACATCCACATTTCAACAAAGGGAGAGCACGGCAGCGCTGCACCCTGGGGAGTTGTCACCTCTGCTGGGCTGGGTTCAGAAAGGAGCTCTGCACCTGCCCTTGTTTACAAACACTTCCCTGCCCAGTAGGAATCTGACCCAGCTCGGGAGACGTGCTAATCCTGTTTGACCTCTGCTCTTCCCCCAGGAGCAGCTCTCTTCATTTCTCCTTCCTCAGCCTGGACAAGCACCGGGAGTGGCTGGAGTACCTGTTAGAGTTCGCGCAGGATGCGGCCCCCATCCCGAACCAGTACGACAAGCATTTCCTTGAGCGTGACTACACGGGCTACGTCCTGGCTCTGAACGGCCACAAGAAATACTTCTGCCTCTTTAAGCCTCACAGATCAGGGGACGAGGGGGGAACCCTGGGATCGTGCGAGGATTACGATTCCTTGCTACACGCGGAAGCCCGAGGGAAATCCTCCTGCAGCCCAGCATCGAGATCCATTAAAAACAAATTACACAAATTGTCCTTTTGGATGGAACGCCTCCTCGAGGGTTCCTTACAGAGGTTCTATATCCCCTCGTGGCCTGCGCTAGACTGAGGGCTTTTAAAGAGATTCTAACGGACAAACTTTTTATGAAGATGACAAGGGACAGCTCTTTCCAGGAACACACAGACAAGCCTGACAAACGGACCTTAGGTTTTAGGTGAACTCTCCTAGGGCCGATGACTAGAAAAATCTCTCCCCGTGCCGGAAGCCCAGGAGTGCAGCCAAGCGCCCCGAAATTCCCTCCACCGACTCGTTGAGCGTTTGGATGCCGTACAACCGAAGAGCCAAGAAGTCCGGTTTTTTTCCCTTCTCGTCCTGCTGCATCTGCTTCCTGAGTCGTGCCCGTTCCAGCCCTCGTTTTACCTCAGTTGAAGAAAAAAAAACCCACAAACCCGTGACTTCTCTGCCAGAAGACTCGGTCCAGACCGAGTTCTCTCTCCCCTTCCCCGCGTGCTTAGCCCATGGTGCATGGTGTAACACTGGCAAGACCCTGCAGATCCTCCCAGGCGCTGCCCTACCGAAAGGCCTCCTCCCGCCAGGCGGCTCGTACTTTATCACCTTTCCCCGGGGTAAGTGATCTCGAGTACGACCGGGAGCGCCTCCCTCGTAGCAAACCTGTCGCTGGGACTCGCCCAGGGTGTGGGCTGGCAGGTGACCAGCATGGCCCGTGCTCCTCGTGTCATAGCGCCACGTGCAGCTTCACCGCAGCCGGGCAGGGAAGGGGTTTTGCACGGCTATAAATACTGTAAAGGTGTTGAGCCATTTCAATGTCACATTGATTTTTTCAGATGCCTTTCTGCTTCGGTCGATTTTAGACAATGTATCCTAGAGCCATAACTTTTGTGTCCTCAGATTGTAGGCGTGAGCTGCTATGAGCCAGTAGATGCATAAAAGAAATTCTACCTAGCTGCTAGGGAGTCACGGCGGGCTCCTTTCCAACACCCTTACATCTGTAGTACAAACCAACCTTTCTTTGTATCAAGGAACCTAATTCTTCGATGATTGTATTCCTGAAACGTTCCCCCAGAAGTGCTGTGTCACCCCACCATCGCTTACGTGTGAAACTCATTTCGGTTCAGGTCTGGGTTTAAGATGTTTGGTTTCATCCTCTCACCTCTTGCCACAAACGTTTGTTTCACCATGTGCAAGGCTGCCACCTTGGTTGGTTTCTTTGTTTGCCATCAGGGATTTTTTGGTTTTGTTTTATTTTCATCTTTTGAACTCATAGGTCTGTTTGATGCTAGAACAGTCATAAAGCGCAGGGTTTGGTTCACGCTTCGCTCCACCAGCGCCCCAACAGCCACTTCCAACGCCGCCCAAGGCCGCGGCGGGGAGAGGGCGGCCTTTGGGCAGGTGAGCAGCGGGCTCGCGCCTCCCTTCTGCTCCTCGAGCGATAAAGCAAAGCAGCAGGACTTCCCTTCATGGCCAGGACTGAAATCCTGTGGGCTCAATCTTCCTTTTCGCTGCTCCAGGGCTGATGCTGTCGCCCGGGCTGGTCCTTGCGCGGTTCGGCCGCGGCGCTGCCAAAGCAAGGGGATCCCAGCAGGGCTCTGAGCCTGACGGCAGAGCAGCTCGGCTCAGCACATGGTGTTAATTTAAAGCTCACTCGGCCCTTGCCACCTTAGCTCCCATCTTGGCAGAGCAGCCAGTTAGGAGGAATAATGATCCCTGAGCTCACTGCTGATCCCACACGGGATCCGGGAATGCTCAAGTCGTTTCGCTGCCTGTGTGACCCAGTCACTCACAAACCCTCGGCTGGCTGCGTTCTCCTCGCCCTGGGAGCAGACGGGTGTGCTCCCACCACCGCTGCCTCCGACATCCTGCACAAGGTACTTCCAAATAAAGGCTACGATGCCACCGAGTGACCCTACGTGAGGTTACGTAATGTGAGCTCAGCAGCCTCTGGGCTGCAGCTTGACTGAGGCACTGAAGTAGGAAGGAAGGTGAGGTCTTCTCCCTGCCGGAGAGCTCTGAGGCGCACACGTTCTGCTGAAACAGAGCGGGAGGGGGAACAAACCGCTGGCCTGACGCTGCTGGACTTCATTTTCTTTTCCCGCAGCTCACCACGCAGGATGTGGCCAGGATACGTTTTTTTAGCCCAGTGGAAGGCTCTGCATCAATTTTCAAACATTTGCAAAAGCAAAAATATACTCTCTGGGTCTCCAGCTGTCTCTTCAGCTGGTCAGAAACCATGAGGAAACCCTCGAACGTTAAAAAAGAAGTGCCTAGTTGTGCTACGACGAGGGAATCGAGCCCTGCCCTAAGTGAGAAGCCTTTATGGCCTTCAAAACACAGTTCCTGTGCTGCACACCCCTGCTGGAACCCTGGGTTTGATTTTCTTTTTAGCACAGGTCTCCTCCCCTTTCAGACGGAGTTGTGTCGAAGGAGCGCGGGCAGCAGTGCCCCGGCTCGCCGGCCGCGGCAGGACGGGAGCACAGCTCCTGTTTGGCTCGAATCTGCCCTTCGCTGCTCATAACCAGGTCACACCAACTGGGCTCCTGTCGCTGTTTGGTTGAAAACCATCTTTCCCGGGCCGAAGCGAACACCCAACTTCTAAACCCCTGGTTTTGGTCGCTTCGGTGGCCGTCGCGGAGCTCCGGGCACTTGCTTGTAGCAGAGCGTGGTGGGAGGCCGCTGACGCCTCAGGTCTGGCCGCCCTCTCCCAGCGGCCGCGAGCCGTCGCCCCTCGATTATTTCCCAACCTGCCGCCTCCGTTATCGTCAGCGAAGCGCCTTCCCGGTTCCTTTATGCACACGGCGGTTCGTAACCCAAAGATGGAGGAAATTCAGTCCTAGTGCACTAGTCCAGTGAAACAGGAGCGGTCACACGCTGCTCATAAGCTGAGGCGAAGGGACACAAGCCCCTGGGCTAAAGGTTGTAACAAAACTCCTTCCTGGCTGCCTGCGCCGCGAGCTGGCCAGGGAGGAGCAGACTGACCCAGCCTGAGCAGTAGGACTGAAAACTAGGTACATATTTTGCACTTTTGATACTAGGAGGGGGGGGAGAATTAACTTATTTGGCAAACTTGTCTCTTTTATTTTTGGTTTTGGTTTGGTTTTCGGTTTTTTATTTTATTTGTATTCGTGAACAGGCACTGATGTCATTTTGTTTTGAGGCGATTACAGACTCGCAACCAAAATAAACTATTTTAATGTGTGACGAGGTGGCTCCGTGTTTCCATGTACACGCTCCCCTCCGCATCAGCGCAGAAATCCCAGGAGCAATTAAAACGCTCCTGCCAGAGGAGATCCCTGGTTAACCCCAGCAAGAAATAGAGTCACCCACACCCCTGATCTCAGAACGAGCCCCAGGCCACCCTCGGCTGCCCTCCCTTCCCCTGCGTTCCTTGTCCTGCTGCTGCGTCTTAATGGGAGAAACCTTTTCCTGGGGACAGTTTTGCCACAAGCTGCAATGAGCCGGGTGAGGAATTCCAGCCACGAGAGCAGAGGTGAGACACCGTTAGACTTGTCTTTTCCTTTCCCGGATAAAAGGGCTGTGAAAAGCTCCCTATAGTTTATCATAGCTTAAAAATTACCTTTTCAAGTGGTAAATGGCATTTATTCCTTACTGCAAAGCCCGCTGAGGGGACCGGGGACTGGGCTGAGGTGGGAGCTGCCCTCACACTGTCTTCACTCCGGGGAGAATGCAGAGCATCTCGAACAGCAGGTTTGCCCCCAGGAGGGCTGTGTTACCTAGGAAAAGACAAAAAAGGGGAAAAACAAGAAAAAAACAAGCCGTGAATGCCCAAGTGCTTTCCCCCGGGGTGGTTGACCACCCCTCCAGGCGCACACGGCTGCTTCTGAACCGTCTTTACACTCACCAGAGACATCGTACATCGGGGCGACTTCTACAAGGTCACATCCCACCACGTTCAGCCCTTTGCAGCCACGAATAATCTCCAAAGCCTGGGGAGGGAAAAAAAAAAAAAACCAAACAGCCCAAAATAGATTTGGGCTCAAGAAAGACACCTGACCTAGCAGGACGTGTCAGGGCTCTGCTTTCCCCATAGGAAGATAAGGAAACCCAGCCCCTAGGGACCGAATCACGTCAGTTGGACCTTTCCTTTCCTCATCACCACGAGAAAACACTCCCCGGCCTCTGTCACACTCTGCCTTGCGGCGCTGGTGGCATGACCTCCTTGGACAACAGCAAAATCTTCCAGCTCCCATCGGGAAACGAAGCTGCCTGCCCCCCTTACCTGCGCCGGCGTGAGCCCGGCGATCTCCGGCGTCCCCGTGCCCGGGGCGTACGCAGGGTCCAGCCCATCGATATCGAAGCTGATGTACACCGGCTTGTCCCCCATCTGCTTCCTCACCTGCCCCCCTTACCTGCGCCGGCGTGAGCCCGGCGATCTCCGGCGTCCCCGTGCCCGGGGCGTACGCAGGGTCCAGCCCATCGATATCGAAGCTGATGTACACCGGCTTGTCCCCCATCTGCTTCCTCACC